TGTTTTTGTTCAGTGATGTGTGGTTGCTGGTGAGTATTTGCTTTAGGTTGAGGGGTTGTCTTTAAGCGAGGACGGATCTGTGAGAGTGAGGGATCATCTTTCAGGATAGGTTGTAGATCTTTGGTGATGCGCTGGAGAGGTTTTAGTTGGGGGCTGAAGGTGACAGCTAGTGGTGTTCTGTTATTTTTTTTGTTGGGTCTGTCTTGTAGGAGGTGACTTCTGGGTACTCGTCTGGCTCTGTCAGTGTGTTTTTTCATTTCAGCAGGTGGGTATTGTAGTTTTAAGAATGCTTGATAGGTGCTTGTCTCTGTCTGAGGGATTGGAGCAAATGCGGTTATATCTTAGAGCTTGGCTGTAGACAATGGATTGTGTGGTGTGTCCTGGATGGAAGCTGGAGGCATGTAGGTAATTGTAGCGGTCAGAAGGTTTCCGGTATAGGGTGGTATTTATGTGACCATCGCTTATTAGCACAGTAGTGTCCAGGAAATGGACCGCTTGTGTGGACTGATCTAGGCTGAGGTTGATGGTGGGGTGGAAATTATTGAAATCATGGTGGAATTCCTCAAGGGCTTCTTTTCCATGGGTCCAGATGATGAAGATGTCATCAATGTAGTGCAAGTAGAGTAGGGGCGTTAGGGGACGAGAGCTAAGGAAGCGTTGTTCTAAGTCAGCCATAAAAATGTTGGCATACTGTGAGGCCATGCCGGTACCCATAGCAGTGCCGCTGACTTGAAGGTATATATTGTCCCCAAATGTGAAATAGTTGTGGGTGAGGACAAATTAATGCTTTGATTAATGGAATTCAATGTGGTTTTCTTCAGAACTAAAACAGAACTCAAAACACAATTCCACCTCTGAGTTTAAGAAAACAAAATGTATCTCTAATCCCCCAATAAAACTTTTCATCTGAATAAACAGTTTACTGTTGTAGATTTAGAACTATTAGCCTATAAATATTTACATTTAATAATTGTGCCACACCATTTGCAGCGCAAACTTCATCCTTTTCTCCTGTTTTTTTTTTAAACTTTAGAATACTTCCTTGTGTTCTGAAACCTATTCTGATACAGATTTTTGTTTTCTTCCCATTTTAGTGTATCAGGTCTTTAAACCATTATCTGCTAACAGCTTGAAATGTGTATGTGGTAGGCTTGAGATACAGTACATTCAGATGCGCAGGCACTTCAGAGCTTGCATGCGTGCCTGTTTGTTTATTGTGTGTATCTTCTAGACTAATACATAGCCTTACTTCAACAGGCAGCTTTGCATATCCACCTAGACAAATATATTACTGTAATACACGTATCCCATGCAATGTATTGTATTTTCCTAATAAAACAAGTTTTTTATATATATTTGAATGATAAAAAAGTAAGGTGAAAATCAGAAAAAACAAATAATACTTTTTGTAAAACCTGGGATTTTTTTTTATAAAAATCGGTTTAACCTTTATGTACATGATACCATGGGATCAGTGAGTTATCAATACCTACATAAATGGATCATGTCTCCCCTGAGTGGCTCACACCCATGAGAATAAATACCCCCTACTTACACTCGATAAGAGTTTCCTCCTTAATTCAAGTATATGGGACTTGTGCTTTGGGGACTGAAGGCCAGGGGTTTACTCCCCGCCAAGGAGTCTATTTTCATGTGGCTCTGATTCATTAAACCCCTAATGGTGCCCCCTCAAAGCAGCTGCCTGTCTCAGGCATTCTCACACCTATTTAAAGTCACAAACATTCAGTGCTGAAAAAAGGCTCCAGATTGCCAGGTCTGGAGCTGAAAAATCTCTAGCCAGAGAACAGGTAGAGCAGCAGGTTAAACTTCCTTCATAGCCTCACCCACTAATGTATCTCAGCCCTGCCTGGGGGAACCAACCTCCAAGGAGAAAGGGAGCTTGATCACCCTAGCCTCTTAGGAGACTGCTAGCAAATGATCCAGTTCATGGGGTTTGTGATCTGAACACCTGCCTGCTAGGAACTGGGCTGAGACCCACCATGCTCATTTCACTGCCTGGCGATCAGATGGGAGAGACTGTCTGGTGCCACCCAACCTGAGGTGGACTGGAAGTGGTGCACAGATTTTCCCTTCAGCCATCCAGAGTCCTCCCCCCACCCTGAAATGCACCTGCTCTCCCTGCAGAGCCTTCCCCAGCCCTGCTTCTCCCTTGCATGTGGGGGTGGGGGTGTGGTGTGTGCCTAGCCCTCCCCGGGCTCCCCGACAGCAGCGGGAGTGGCCTGCAGCAACCCGCACAACGGTGGGTAGGAGGGTGGGAGGCTCCAAGGCCGCCCCGCTCCCTCCCCGCGGGGTCCCTCACACCGCAGACGGGAGCCGAACGCGTGCCAGGCCCCCCGCACGATTCTAACCGCGGCCAAGGCGGCGGTTCCTGCGCTCGCCCGAGCAGCAGCCGCGCGGCGGGGCCGGGTTGCGGCGAGCTCGGCGGCGCTCGCGCACGGCGCGGGGAGGCGGGGTGGGGCGGCGCGCGGGGAAGGGGGGTCCCTCCCGCGGCACACAGGGAGGGAGGCAGCGCGGCGGCCGCAGCCTCAAGGTCACACTTCTCCCGGCAGAGGGAGAGAGAGGAGCGAGGGCGGCAGCGCTCCCCGCCCCTGCCCCCTCCTCCCACCCCCGTGCTCCCCGCCTGCCCCTCGTCTCCCCCGCCCCCTTCTCCCCTCCCCGGCTCCCCCCGCCCGGCTTTCCCGCTCAGCCTCGGGGGCTGCGGCAGCCCGGCCACGGACTAGCCCTGCGGCCCGAGCGCGCTGTCCATGGTGGGGCGGCTGGGCTGCGAGCTGCCGGCTGCCCGCCCAGCGGCGCGGGGCTTTGGGGCCATGCCGGGCACGGCGGCGGCGGCTCCCCGGCGTCCCGCGGCGCCCCGCTGCTTGGCGAGCGCCTGGCTGGTGGCGGGATAATGCGTCTGCTGGGCGCCAGCGCTGGCCACCTGGGAGGCACCGCGCCGGGGGGCCGCCCGCCGCCCCGCCACCATGTCCCCCCCAGCCTCGGCGGCCGCGGCCGGCGAGAGAGGCAGCAGCACGTCGGTGCCTCCGGAGGAGGCGGAGGGGAGCCGAGAGGAGGTGAGGACAGAGCGACCTGCCCGCCCCGCCGGGCGGCTGCTTGGCGCTCCCCGGCTGCATGCGAGCGGCTTTGCATGGCACGGGCATGGCAGCGCGCTTGAGGCTCCGCTCCGCGGGGTCACACCCCGGCTCTGACCGGGCCGGGGCTTTGCATCCAGGTACGGCAGCTTCCGCTCGCCCCAGGGGCCGGGCTGGGCCCGGGGGGGCAGAGAGGGGCACCCCGCAGTGCAGCCCCTTTCCCGATCCTGGCTCACTCGGGCCGGGGCCGGGGGATTCCCAAGGCCCCGCTGGCAGGGGGAGGTGAAGCCTTTATGGGCGCTGGGGGACGGGGACCATCTGGGAGCGCGGCGGGGTGCAGACCCCCGGGTGGGGGGCGGCTGAGAGCTAGGAAGGACGGGATGAAATTGAACAAAGGGAAACGTAGGCTGGATGCAAGATGCTGGGGAATCCTCCCTCCCATAAAGTGCTGGAGCCCCAGGGCCTGGCACAAGGCAATAGAAAATAGACCTGTAGGGATCCGTCCAGCTCTGGTTCCCCGGGGCTGGACAAGAGGGGACATAACAGGGCTTCCCTAGCTCTAACTTGTATGGTTCAGTGGGTAGGAGGTAGTTAAGACTGGCCAATGGCATGGAACAAATTTTCTATTGGTGTAAGATGTGCAAGTGGACTCTAGGTAATGGAGTCCTGCTTCTTACACCAGCTGCAAATTTAGGCTGATGGGGTCTCTGTAAGGGACTGTGCCAGAGTCTGGTGGGTAGCAGTGCGGACTTGCCACAGCTAGGGGAAGCCCTTGTCTGCCAGCTGGTCCTCCTTAACCCAGTTACCTCATACCTGACAGGGCAGGTTTAGCCAGCCTGTGGGTGTGAGAAGATCTATCTAGATAATTACCATCCATAGGAACGATCTAGTTCTTTGCCTGCTTACAATCTATACATCCCTCTCTCCGTTCTTGCTCTTCTTTCATTCTGTGCTTATCACCATGGTAGCTGAGCCTGTACTGCTCTGAACTGGAACAACCATACAAACACAGGATGGAAAAGCTCTGAGGGGAGGCAGGAGAGCTGGATGCGGGGGGAACATGCATAGGATAGCATGGAACGGTTGACTGTTTTGGGAGGCAGAGGAACAGATGAAAGCACCAGCTTGATGTTCCCGCCAAGGGGAAAGCACTGGGCACTGACCTGAAAGGGTTGACTTATTGCGTTAGAAGGAAGTTGTGGTGCCCAGTAAGAATATGGGAAACCCTCTTGGCAGTGTGCCGAGGACCAGCATGTAAGTGCATGATTCCCCCTGAAGGAAGTTGGACTGGCACTGGGGAAAGGGGGTTGTTGATGCGCAGAAGCTAGAGGGATTCCCCAGCTGCTGCTCCATCGGGCGCATCAGGGATTCGGGATGCAAGGGAGATGCAGCTGCTCTTCGTGTGCTTTTCTTGCAGGGGAAGGGATTGAATGCTGGGGAGGCATGAAGTGCAGACTAGAGTAGGCTAGGAGCCATGTGCCCTCTGGCTCCAGGAATGCTGCTGCGCTGTGGTCATCTTGATGGGCCTTCTTGCAGAGTCCAAGCATCAGACACGGAACAGCAAGGAGCTAGCTGTATGTGCTACAGGCAGCCAGAGGCATGGGGGATGCTGGGGAATCCTTTTGTTTACCAGAGAGCAGCATGTTCACTTATTAGGGTCCCCAGGAAATGAAGCAATATTGACCAGGATGACCCACCAGTGATCCGTGGGGCAGTGCCATACTGTGAGCACCTGTCTGGGGATTAAAGACTCTGGTCTTCTAGCTGTGGGGTTGGTCCTTGCCTGAGCTATCTGCTCTTGGAATACACACAGCCAGAAATGCAGTTAGTCAATACCATGGGAGAGAGTGACTCCAGCTGTTCTTAAGAGCCACAAGCTGAGTAGGGGTGCTGCTGGGAGGGTGGGGTGACAGTTGTTGGCTGCTGCATAATCCCAGTATTCTCTGCCCTCCGTTTACTTGGGAGGCACACACACACTTTTCTAAAAATGTTTAATTGTGAACGCGTTCGTGAGAGATTCGATCACCATCTGGAGTAGGAAAAAGAGGGAAGGACAGAGAAGCTATGCATGTACCGCACACACAGCTCTGCTGCTGCCCCTCACTCCTGACTTGCACCCCTCCTGCTATGCCAGTTCCCCACACACAGCTGTCCCGCTGACCCACACTCCCCTGACCGCCTTGCCCCATTCCATGACCATTAGCCTCCTGAGTCCAGGGCTTCTCTTGAGCAGATGCTGAGAATTTGAGCCAAACTGTGGGGTGATTTTGTATTGTAGGGTGATGCTTAGCCTGGGTTGGGACAAGGTCCCTCACCTCTTTAGACCTGAACAACCAGGTCCCCAGAGGGAAGGCTGACTGTGATGCTGCCTCAAAGGGAACCGAGTCCCTAGCTGATGGTGGCGGGGTGTCCTTTTTTTAAGAAAAAACACAACAGTGTTATTTTCATGTAATTATAGGGACTGGTGATTGGTGCTGGAGTGAGAGCCCTGGAGAATGACAGCCTCTATGCAAGAGCAAGCATAACATGAGCCATGCCAGGGTCAGCATCCCTCACACATGCCATCCCCTGCCTTGGGGACTGTGAGAAGATAGTCTAGTCTTTGATCTTTCTGCTGAGGCTGCCAACAAGGATGTCAGTATAATATAATCTAGTTCGGGCTGACAGGAGTGTTTGAGTCTGGTACCAATAGTGCAAAAAGCATGAGCTACTCCACTGCTTGAGCTAAAGGAGTATTTCCCTTAGCTAGCAGCTATAGTAGGCTCTTATCTCCTTATGTGGAACCTCCATTAGAGAAGGACAAAGCCCCTTACTCTCTTAGCGTGGGTTACACAGCCATGCTGGAGTTTTTATAATGTTGACAGCTGCCCTCTGGGAACCAGATAGAGATACCATGTGCTCATTTCACATAGGTACCAGACAGCCATCGCACTGTGGTGACTTTTGATCCCTACCCATCAGGCCAGACCTGGAAAAGCAACATATCCCCTCAAATGCCCAGTCACCACAAATGTTAGGTGGAAGCATTGCTGCCTCCGTGCAGAGCCTGTCCGAGGCCTCTGGTCCTGTTGGGGATGGAACATTCTTACACTGAGATTGGCAGGATATGCTGCTGCATTCACTGTTCACAAAGACCGAGTCCCTGAGGAACATGCCCAGTTCCCAACTGTAGGTGACAGTTGGGCAGAGCCTGTAGGGGACATTGGAGAGAAGGGCAAGATACTGGATAACATGGAGATGAAAGTGAGGGGAACTACAGTTGCTCTGCCCTCCTTGATGGTGCCTTGCATTGTCACATCCCATACCAGGGCACTGATTTCCCCGAAACCTGGTACAGTTTCAGCCACTGCTCTGTGTAACCCCAGGGCTGCCTGAGGGCTGGAGGGAATCCAAAAAATTCCTGTCTGGCACATGCACATTGGGCTGAACCAGTACCACTCCACTCAGCCATGCAGTTCCGCCAGGGACGACTTTGGGCTCTCTCCCTATCACACTAACATATAAGCTCTCAGACTGTGGCCTGCTTCTGCAGAACCCAGTGCCATCCTATCCACGCTGATGAGGTGCAAGTCAGATTGGGTTCTCTCAGACATCCATTTGCGGCAATTCCAGCCTGTCCCCAACCTCAGCAAGCACTGAAGCCTGGGAATAAGCTATGGGTCCCTGCCCCCATTCTCAAGTGACTTCTGTGGGTAGAACAAACCCTCCCCACATCCCGGTGTAATCTGGAAGCCGTGGTATCACTGCAGCAGGTTCCCTGCAGCAGGTCTCCCTCTGTCCCAAATGCACAGCTTTCCCCTTCCCTCTGCAGTTGGCAGCACTGCCAGCCTTGAGTGAGCCAGATGTTTCCTCTGGGAAGCATCACAGCGAGGGTGTAGGGATGTGAGGCACAGCTGCAGGGTTTGCTCAGATGGGGGCTGACACCCTCACCAAGTCAGACAAGAGACAGCCAACCCAGAGGCCAGCCCATTGAAGTCAGTGGGGTTTCCCAGGTGTGACCCTGGGCAGAGTCTGGCCCCTCCAAGTCTTGTTCTGGGGATTGGCTGCTGCAGGGGAGGCACAAGGCTTAATCTCTTATCTGATGTAAGTAAATCTGCAAGGCAGAGCCATGGAAACTGCTGCTAATGACTCCCAGCAGATTAACCTGCAACTCACTGCCACTTTGCTCCATGCAGGAGCCACCTGAACCCAATGCTGGTGCCTTGGGGCTCATGACTTCAGCATTTTGGAGCTCTGTCTCTGGGACACATTAACCCCCTCAAACTCCTGGTCAGGTCATACTTGGATGACACTGGAAAGCTGAGTGGTATAAGGTCATGGAGATGGATTGGGGGGCAGGTGCGTGTCCAAAAATCAAGGATGTTCTTTGCTGGTGAGATGGAGGGTAGGTGAGAAATCCTTTTCCCAGCTCCCTTGCAGTTGATCTGTTTCTCCTAACCTAGCCATCACATCGGGGGGGTGTGTGGGGGGGAGGGACGGCATTAGGGAAGAACTGTTGGTGCTAAGTTGGGCGTGGGTTGGGTCCATTTAGGGGAAAGTGCAGGAGTCCAGGTGGCAGGGAACAGTTTGGGTCACTTGTTAAGTAGAGGGGTCATAGACATGGGAAGGGTTGGACTGTTTGGAAAGAGTTCTGACCAGAGCAACAAGTCATCTACAGAGCCCAAAGGGGCTCTCAATTTGCTTTGTATTCAAAGTTGGAGCAGCAGGGAGGGTAGGAATGGAAAAGGGCTGGTTAGGCCATTCAGCTAGTCTCCTGGGAGCTGGGTTGTCCCATACAGCCCATTCTGCAGGGCTCCATATGCTCCCACGTGCTGGAGAAGGAGATTCCCCAGATCTCCAGGTCAGGGAGCCTTTCAAATAATTTAGTCCAAACGATGACTTACAATGTCATTTTATTCCCCCACCTCCTGCTCTCCATGTTTCTTTGAGTCACTTCACTGCTAGGTATAAGTTCTGCTCCTGTCAGCCCCTGCAGCAGCCAG